GGTCCGCCAAGTTCTCCGTTTGCACTGCATGCATGTCTATTTTGATTTTCGTTTCTGAAAACTACGCGGTTTCATTTCTGAAAACTTTCAGAGACAGCTGCTGCTCCTCATCAAGACTTCAAGAGTATTTTGCAGCTTCACTAGTACACGTGGAACGTGGAGTTGCTTCGTATATTCTTTGTAAAAAAAAATTATGATCTAACAGCTGAGAATAAATAGAGTGTTAATATCAAATACAAAATCTATAAATTACAAGATTAATCAAGAGAAAAGAATATGCACTGTTATATTCTTTGATGATCTAATGGCCGATAATAAATCGAGTATTCATGTCAAAACAAAGTCTAAATTACGAGATAAACCAAAAAAAATATGTGCCGTTGGATTTTATGCTGATCTAATGGACGAGAAGAAATACAGTATTTATGTCAAATATAAGGCCCAAAAATTATGAGATTAACCAAACCAGAAAAAAATAATTTGCACTGTTGGATTTTATAGTGATCTAATGGCCAAAAATAAATAGAGTATCCATGTCAAATAACACGAAGGTCTAGAAACTGTGAGATTAATCAGAAAAATAGTAATGTTACATTTTATGGTGACCTAACGGTCGGGAATAACTAGACTATCCATATCAATAAAATCAATAATCAAATGTATATCGATGATGCTGCAAGAAAGATATTATAATCTAATTATATATAATGAAGACAACATATGTAGATGCAAATTAAACCTTCTGCGGATGGCAACTCGATTGCATGTAACTAGATGATGCTACGGAACAAATTCCAACAGTACTGTCTTCGGTGGAAATTAATTAGAAGAAAAAGGGTACTAAGAATAGTGAAGCATTTTTTTGGCCCTCGATCATGTTCTCTTGACAATATCGTTGAAGGTACAAATAGGGCCGTACTTTTTCAGCGAAAGAACAATGTTTTTCTCTCAAAACAAATCAGCCAACAGTATTTTTCAGCCTGGCATTTCAGTCAAGCGAACATGAGTTTATAATACAAAATAAGTATCATTAAATTAATTATAGAATATATTTTCGTAGTAAATCTAGTTGGAGACATAAATGTTACTATTTTTTACTATAAATTTGATCAAACTTAAGAGAGTTTGACTTGTACGAATCTTATAGATACGTTCCTTTTATGATAGAGTGAACCCTGAACCGTTGGTGTTTTTCAGAACCTCACCCACCACCCAGATTGAACCGATCCAAAGGATCCGGCCAGTTTACGTGCAGATATTTAAACCTGACCAAGCTTATTTACTTGGACAGTTGGTCCCTGCTAGTGAATGGCAAAGGGCGAATAGACCAGATTCTGAATCTCAGTGCCGTGACACTGATGATAACACGAGCACGGTACGAGAATTGAATTGAATTGAATAGCTGGTACGTATCAGACTGTCTGTGCGCATCGTGTGCAATAATCGCTGGAGATCTCGTCCGCGGGCCGCAGCGATCCTGGCAGTGGCAGGCGAGAAACACGATCCCGGGCTCACAAACCTTTCACGCGCTCCCTGATACGATAGCATTAACAATGGCGGAAGCTGATACGGTCCATGATCATTGCTCGCCGCAAAACTCCTGGCGAAAAGGTGGCTCCTGCCTCCACTCGATATCATCTCCTGCCCCGGTCGGGGGCTCGTGGCCAAGTGATGAAGACGACGACACAGCATTGTTTTGTTAAGCAATCCGTGGAGGGTGGAGCGATAATCACCAGCAGCTCACACGCAAGCAGCACGAACCTTTTTGCTATTCGTTGGGTCGTGGAAGCACATGCGCGCGACACGTACCGTACGCGCCGGGCTCCACTTGCAACTTCCACTCCAGTATTTTTTTTCCCCCTTTTGAGAAATGCAAAGCTGTATGAATGCCGAGTGGCACGCACAGGTGCACAGTTAGCAGGCACATGGATCCACCCATGCCGGAATGCTGGCCGCCACCATTTGTGCGTGTGCCGGAGTGGCTTGGCGCGAATCGTTAACATCTGATTACCTACCTCTCCCACTTTGTCAGGTCCCCGAGCAGCCGAGCCGAGAGACCTGGGGACGCCCGGTGCGTTGCGTGCGTGCCTGACGTACGGTATGCATCATCTCATCCAGTGGCGGAGGCGCCCTATTAGATATACGTAATCTATATATGTCTTTATTATTATTAGTTATTTATCAGTTTAGCTCCTCCTAATATACGCTCTATTAGATAGTAGTAAAAAGAGAAAGATTATTCGTAGTTTTCTCAAGCTGGTTGGTTCAAGTGCTAATCTATTGAAGCCATTAGAAGCCGGTTGTCAATAATCATCATTGTATTGAAGCTCGTTACTTTGTCCATTGCTCCCCCTATCCTCGAATCCTGGCTCCGCCCCTAACCTCATCGCCGGTGGAGTACCGGAGTCCACTCCGCTCGCCCACACGCACGCGGCCGCCCGTTGGCCCGGCGAGCGACCAGGACCGTGCCCACCGGCACGTTTCTCCATCTTCGGGGCATTGCATTTTGTATTGTACTCCGTATGGCGCTTGCAGTTGCAGCAGCGAGCTATTAGAGGCCGTACGTGTTAGTCGTCGCGGACGACTAATCGGGCGATAACGCCAAGCTTTTCGGAGTTAACGCGCGGGGATCCATGCAAAAAGGCGCGGAATCTTCGAGGCTTAACGAACCCACAGAGAACTGGAGTGCATTTTACGTAGTACATGATTGTTAATGGCCCGTCGCTGTCTTGGCGAGCTCACGGCCACATGACCGCCGGTGTTGTTGAGGCAAAGCGAGGCTTTGACTTGGCATCCCAATATCCCATACCCATAGGGCTTAAGCAAATGCAAGTCCTTTGCCATTTGCAGCCGCAGCTGATTAAAAACAATCAGTGACACTGACGTAACGATCTGCCTAGGAGTATATATATATAGCTACAGTAAGCGTACAGCACGTAAGGCCAGCTGCAGCGCAGCCCTAAACCTGACCTGACCGTGTCCCTGCTTGCCTGGCTGGCTGGCGGCAAGCGTACACAGCCTTTTACCTGACTGTGTCCTCTGCGACTGCGGCGGCAGACTCTGCCTCCTGAATCCGAACCAGCGACAGCGAGCGACGGCCGGCTGCTGCTCGCCGCTCCTGTTGCAGATAATAAAGCCGGCCGGGGCCCCTACTGATGCAACTGTTTTTCAGGTGCGCAATTGTTCCCACTTCCCCACTTGTTTTTGGTTCCTCAAATTTCCAGAGTGTTTTCCAACGCCCATTTGGCAACATGTACGAGTACGAGTACGTAGAGTGTTTTCCAGAGTGTTATCCATGATGCAGCAGCAGCCATTTGGCAACATGTACGAGTACGTAGAAATATATTGAAGCAGCTATAAGGCCAGCACAAAGCCAGGAAAAACCTTAGCTTGCTAATCATGGCCCAAGCTACTAGTATACTCGTAAACTAATAACCATGCCAGATTAGACCAACTAATGCATGGGGCTGGATCATAAGCCAGACCAGACAGCTCGTTTCGGCTTAATTTCATTGTTAACATGATAACATCACATCACCTGAAATTAAAAAAAAAATACTCCTATGCTACTGCACACCATTCCATCCCCGTGTAGTAAAGTGCCCGGGTTCCAGTCTCAGCACCCGTGTGAACACGAGCAAATGGTAGGAAGAAGAATCGGCAGAAGCGTGCGTGACCTTGCTCCCGTGGTCGGAAGGTCTAAAGGAGGATGGAAGTATATATCCAGTCCTCTTGACAGCTTAAAAGGTGGGTTTTGTTTATCAGGACTCAGGGGAAGGAGATGATGGTGGTGGTGGTGATTCCCCTTCACCCTCATCACATGCATCTTTTTTGCGCAGCCCTTTTTATCTATTGCGTTCATGCGTTGCGTCTGCACTTGTGATGCGTAGTTTGGACATCACAAGGGGATGGGGATGGCGCTTTTGTCCGGATGGATGAGTTGTACTGTTTTTTATAACAGTAATATGTAGGAGTAAGGGTCTGTTTAGTTGGCAAATTTTTTTGGTTTTGAGTACTGTAGCACTTTTCGTTTTTATTTAGTAATTAGTGTTTAATTATGGACTAATTAGGTTTGAAAGTTTCGTCTCGCGATTTCTCACCCAACTGTGTAATTAGTTTTTTTTCGTCTACATTTAGTACTCCATGCATGTGCCGCAAGATTCGATGTGATGGATACTGCGCAAAAAAATTTAGGTTTTGGGTGGAACTAAACAGGCCCTAAGTCTACTACAGCATTACACATGTGGCTGCAACTACAAGGCGAGTTTTGGGCCTTTTACACCATCAAACAAAATTAGGAAACGCTAATACTACCAACAAACAATCTGTCAGATGAATGCCAACAAGTATTTTACCTAGGTTTGTGTAACACTTTTCTGACTCCAGTTTTTGGTGAAGCAGTGCCCTCTTCTTATATACGTAACGTCAAAAAATTAGTACTACAGAGGAGGATGGAAAGGTTTGTTAGCAAACGACATGCTGGTAGTACAACCTTGCCTTCCATCATTTTTATTTTTCTGCGATGAAAGGACATGCTGTTAGAGTCGTAGTTGTACTACTAGCACTAGCAGTACCAACGGAGCACACACAGCAGTCCACCAATTCAACCTTAATAAAAAAACGCATCAGGAATCCCAGGGCGGGCCGGCCCACCCGGACCCGGCCCGGGGTCCGCCGGTCCGGCCCCAGCAAAAACGACGCGACCAAGTGGATTGGAAGACCGCGTCGGGGTTAGCCCAGCATAAGAGGCGCCATTAGACAGCGACGGAGACCCAAACAAACAAACAAACGCCTCTCTCTCTCTGACCTTGGAAACCAAGACCAGAGACCGGAGCAAACGAGGCGGGCGGCCGGACTCCCTCCGGAGCGGAGGAAGCGTCCAATCCAACAGCCCCGTCGGCCAATCCCAAGCTCGGTCCCATTCCTGTGCCCTCCAAGTACCCTCCGCCGAGGTCTCCGTCTCCCTCGGGCCATCATCCTCTGATCCTACCGCAACCGCGATGGCGCGTGGCGGGCGAAGATCGGCGGCGGCGGCGGCAGGGGGAGAGGCCGTGGAGGGCTCTCGCAGTAGGTGAGTGGTGTGCTCTGAACTGAATTCTCGCTGTTCTCTGTTCCGTTTAGGCGGCGGTCGATCTCACGAGGCAATGGCACAGTGATCCGCTGTCCGTTTGGTTTTTCTTAGCTTCTCCATCGATTTAGTTGTGGGCGCGTGATTGATTGGAACAGTCCCAACTGCTCTGAAAGAGCACCGTTGTCCATGTGATTCACATCAGAATGGTAAAACTCTTAGTTTTTTCTTTTTATTTTGGAATGTTGCGCTCGGTTCCTGAAAACTAACCTCGTTTTGCTTATGTCCTGCAAAATTAGCCCGGAAATTAGTGCTGGATTTTTGGAGACCCATCTCCCTGATTCCGCATACTTTTTTTCAAATTTTGTCGGTTGGAAATGGAACAGCGTCGTTGCCCACTTGCCCTTTCGAAACGGAGTCCTAGCATTTACATTTTTTTTTGAACTTATGCATTTACATTTTCCCACCGGTGCGAGCGGACGCCCAATTTATTGGCGCGGTGGCCCACAGAACACATGCAACCAAGCGCTTCGTTTCTGATCAGTTCGATTTTTTTTTACAAAATTCACTCTAGCAGTAAGTAAATTCTTTCGGTTCAATGGTTTCTTTCTTATATGAAAAAAACGAATAAAGAAATTTGTCTTCCCGTTGTTCTTTGACTCTGCATTTCTGCGTACAAGAACAAACAAAACTATCTTTTTCTCCACTAGTACAAGGTTCTGACCAAAAGATCAAAAAAAACTTTAATTTAATTTTGTTTCCCCACCGGGGCAGTTCCTCTCAACTGAATGGCCGCGACTTTAATGGCCATGTACGCGGAGAGCGGAGTTACGCCCTACGCCTGCGGCCCGGTCGGCGCAGCGCAGATGCAGGAGACAAAATAGGAGGCGGCGCCCGCCGGCAGGCACCCCCCTGCTCCTGCTCCTCCCTTCCCGCTTTCCCATCCACGGTACGCTACGCCGCAGAGGCTGTTTTTACTCCGGGGCACCAGCACCACTCTAACCTTTCCGCGCTGTTTTTCGCAGTTGCTCCGCCAGTTCCCTACCTCGGGATCTGCGGGCTCCCGTCCGGTCCCGTGTGGGTTGTTGGTGTTGCTGTGTGTGTTCTTCTTGCTTCGTCCGCCCGGTGGGATTCCCTAGGTGCGGCGGCTTGAGGTGTACGGGTGTCGAGTTGTTGCCTTGTTGGTGAGCATTGTCAGGAGTGCCGGACGGAGGCGGCGGCGATTAACGGTCTGTTCGGGAGATCGTAAACTCGGGAGACCCTAAATGATCGTCTGCTGATTTGGTGTGAGAGAAAATGGGATGGAAATTTACGATCGTTTACTACCGAGCACAGGCTGTAAGATTAACCGAGGCCGCTAGGTTAGTTTAGTGGTGGTTAGCCTGGGCCTGTGCTTTCTTTTGTTTGGTTTATTGTTGACAACCTGTGACAGTTCACAGTTGTGGACCTGGTAAGCACTGTTGTAGTACTAGGCTACTAGCATTTGCTTTGCTTTGCTTGAAATGGTAGCGGTTTGCATTGCTCCACGAGTGAGGATTTTTAGTTGGTTCTGAGTATCTTGCTATAATGCTATATGCTGCTCTTTTGGCCCATCTTGGCGAACTTTCCTCTTGTCATTCGCACTGTAAACAGTGAACTGCTGCCGAACTGAACTTTTTGGCTCTCTCTGGTTTTGCAGTTCCATTTTATGCAGACCTTCATACTTCCTTTTTGCATACTTTTCTTTAGTAATTGAACTAGTTACATCCTACTTTACTTAATACTCCTAGTCGTACGCATCTTTAATGTAAACAGAATTTACTTTTGGTGCGTGCGAATATTTTTCACTTGAAGTTGGAAATTTTCATTTGAAAAGATCTCGTCCACTTGCCCATACCTTTACCGGGAGTCATTTTCTGGGGTGCTGCTCCGTCTTCTTCTCACGTTACCACCCTTTTTCCTCCTTTACCATAGCCTCATATTTGCATTGTTGATTGCAGATGACAGTCTGATTTCCCACAGCCTTCACTGAGTGCTAGAGCCCCTCCGTGTCAATACACTGTTTGGTGCTGAATCATATTCATTGAAGATGCCAAGATCTGAATCAGACAGCGATGATGTTTTCTTTGATGCATTTGAAGATGTTCGATCTCCAGGGGAACCTTCATGTTCAGAGGATTGCAGCACAAGTGATGAAGTTTCAGTGCCAATGACATTTGAGTATGAGATTTGGGCAAATGAGCCAATGAGTGTTCAAGAAAGGCGGCAAAAGTTCCTTAAAGGAATGGGATTCGATGATTTTGTTTCTGCCAGAACAGATTCTTTCCAATGCCATGGTGAAATCACAGCTGTTGAGTCTTCCACTGACATGGAGGAGAGAAGTGTCAGTGGCCATTCTTCCGTGGGTACATCTGTTTGTGACAATGAATCGGAGTTTGACAGTGCCTGTTGCATAAGGGATATGGATAGTGGAAAGAAATATATTGTCCACAATGGTGCACATAGCAGTATAACGGACATGCTCAAGGAGGTTGGATCAGATAAGGTGATGTCTCTTCTGGAGTTTGAGAGTTTGCTTGGCCTCTCTCGGTCTGTTCAGAAATTATTGCGGAGGGGATGTGGTAACAGTCCTGCAAAAGAAACAAAAAGTGCTAAGAAAAAGGATGTCAAAAGCTTGTTGAAGAAACTCGTGACAAAGAGAAGCTTTGGTGGCATCTGCAAGTATGATGTACATGTGAAAAATTGCACAAATAGTATACCAACCAGAACAAGAGTTCAACATCGGAAGAAAAAATTTCTTGAATTCTCTGCTGTCTACATGGATCAAGAAATTAGAGCTCACAAGGGTTCAATTAGGGTCATGAAATTCAGCCCATCTGGATGGTATTTAGCAAGTGGTGGTGAGGATTGTGTTGTACGAATATGGCAAATTATAGAAGTAGAAGCATCTCCTAAGTTGTATAGGGGAGAGGATCCCTGTGAAAAGGTGGAGAAAGTTCAGGTCATTAATACAAATATAGAAAAGGGGCAGAACCAGGGACTTGCAGTTATACCCAAGAAGGTTTTTCGTATATCAGAGACTCCATTACATGAATTCCGTGGCCATACAAGTGATATCCTTGACATGGCATGGTCCAAATCAGATGTAAGTCTTCCTTTGTATTCTGCATACCTCACATATCTTACTCAGACCACTTAACCTATATTCACTAACCTGTTTCCATGCATTATAAACAGATACTCCCTCCATTTTTAAATATATGGTGCTTAGGACAAGCTAATTAGCTAAAAAATAAACTAATTAGGTTGTCACTAAACGTCGTATATTTAAAATGGAGGGAGTATTAGTTAGTGCTGTTTCCCTGTTAAATTCCTTACCCTTTTTTTTTTGCCTTGGTTTGACTGCAGTATCTCTTAACATCATCCAAAGATAAAACAGTGCGCTTATGGAAACCTGGCTGTGATGGTTGTCTTGCAGTTTTCAAACACAGAGACTATGGTAAGCTGAATATCTGTGAACTATTATGAGTTTTGAAAACTTAATCGAATCGTTGCTCAATGTTGATATCCTCTGTGTAGCAACATTGCTGTGATGATGAGAAAAACCTTGTGATGTTCTCAGTACATTGAAGCATAATAAGAACTTAAATATTTTTTCCTTGGAGAAGAACCTGACTCTCTTCTGTTCCTTTGTAATTGATAACAGTAACATGTGTTCAATTCAACCCTATTGATGAGAAATACTTCATCAGCGGTTCATTAGATGGTAAAGTGCGCATTTGGGATGTGTTGGACAAGCGAGTAACTGACTGGGCTGATACGCGAAATATCATAACTGCTTTGAGTTATCAACCAGATGGAAAGGTGTGAATCAGATACCATTGTCATTGCATTTTTTTTTCCATAAGTGGGTTCTAATTCATGCTTTTGCAAACCAGGGTTTTATTGTTGGCACGATTGCAGGCGCATGTCGTTTCTATGACCAATCAGGTACATGGAGGTCTTTTTTCTCAAATGTAATTTTACTTATGTCGAGTGTTTCAACTTCCATGTGTAATAGTAAACCATGGTAATCGCCAAAAAATATGTTTACCAATAATTCAGTACTAAGAGTGAGTGGTTCAATTTTCCTTTTTAGGTGAAAACATCCAGCTAGAGAAAGAATTGTTTGTGCAAGGGAAGAAAAAATCAGCTGCCAGTCGGATCAACAGTTTACAGGTTTATTTCTCCCTTGGCTCATACTGTATGATTTTTCTGCAGCGAGTTTGTGGAAGCACTAGTATCCTTGCAATTATTAAATCAAATCAAATTGCTAATTTGTGACCTCCGCTTTGCAGTTATGTACAATTGATTCCACTGGGATTATAATTACATCAGGGGGTTCCAAAATTCGAGTCGCCAATGGTGATACCATCCAAAAGTTTGAAGGTAGATTCACACAGAAAGTAGAAACTCATCATGTTTCAACCATGTTACACCTCTTGACTTCAGTTACTGATAGATGCTGCTGCTTTTTTTTTTTAACTTATCTCTGATACAGGGCCTTGGAAGTCAAAGGCTTTATCATCACCGTCTTTAACATCAGACGGCAGATATCTTATATCTGCCGGCAAAGATTCCAATGTCTATATTTGGAACTTTGCGAATTCTGGAGATGCAAAATCAGTTCATTCATGTGAGCTGTTCTTCTCCAAAGATGTGACTACTGCGGTACCATGGCCTGGAGTGCACCAAGATGGGCACACGAAGCCTTCCTGCCTGAATGAGAAATCATCCAGTGCGCCGATTTTGCACCACCACGAGGAGTGCCAGTCCCCTGGGCCGTGGTCGTTCGTGGACAGCAGCAAGGGATCAGCGACATGGCCTGAGGAGAAGTTGCCTTCTACTGCAAAGCCTGAAAGCAGCCCGCAGCTGGGCGACTGCCTCTCCTTGATATCCGCCGCGTGGAGCACGGTCATCGTGACCGCCAGCCGTGATGGCGTGATCCGATCTTTTCCCAACTATGGCTTGCCCGTTAGATTGTGAGCTTCAAGACTGGTTTGAGCTTGTCAGTGGAGCGCAGCTGTGGTTGGTGATCGATAACCTGCTAACGTTATGAAGTTCTTTTTCTCTCTCTCTTTTTTTTTTTTTCTGGTCAGAGTTACTAGAAATTCTTTTTGTTACATTTGTTAGATCATGAACTTCTCATGAAGAGATGATCTGTAGTCAGTCCAAGTCCAAACACTTGTGCTGCTTTTTGCTGGATGGTTGTTACAAGGTAAAAAATACAACCATTCAGTTATAATTAGTATCAAGGTGGCCTGCGCAAGTAGCACGGGTGGTTAGCTTTTTTTCACTAACATCATCAGGATGTATTAGTTGAAAATATTTTAAAATAGTTTGATTACTTGTTTTTGTTGTAATTGTCTTATCTCTATGTGCACGCACTGTATCTATCAGCAAAAATTTTATAGTTATCTTCAACCAATTCATTAGCTTAAAGGGTTTTTCCCCCCATTCATATACCGTGATTGTGCATTTTGTGCTGAGGCAAAACCAAGATAGCCTTTAGTTTTCTCTCGATGAACTCAATTCTCAATAAAACAAAGTCTCCTGTACATGGTTTAGTTTGTTGTCCCTCTTGTAAATTTAAATTTTGGATAATCTTGGACCTTTTATTGCATACTTGTAGTTACCTATTTTTGCAATGCTACTCATGTTTGCTAGGGCCACTACTGTCTCAAGCAGGCAGAACATCTATCGGACCCTCGGGCCTTTTGAAAGAACCGTCGAACTAATCTCAGACCTGCTATCCATGCTCTCGCGAAGAGAAAAGCCAAATGATCTCTTGCTCTGCTCTGTTAACAGCAAGGTAGGAAGGGAGGAAGGAATCGGAGTTTGAGGTGGGAAGCAGAGCAAGGGGACGGCAACAGACGAATCTCGATTAGTTTGGGGAATAGTTCATAGCCAACTCCAACACGCACACCTACTTAAGTAGACAAGCCGAACACGCTGCTATTACATCGCCTCAGCCATTGAGCCATTCTGGGCCATGGTAACGGACGCTCTTGGTCTTGGGCCTGGGCTTCCGGCCTGCTTCTTCACTTGGCTTGCCTCCTTCTTCAGTGGCCGCTGTTGCCTGACGGTGAACAGGGCCGGTGCTGACATGCTCGTGATCTTGTGACACATGCACATTGTGGAAACGATGGACCAATTGCATGTGCCCGACGAAACATGTTCATCCCCTAGGCCACCACCATGAAAATCGTCATATTTGAGTCATAATGATTGGAATCAAAGCATTATGTATGGATGTGCAAAATTAATATGGGCTTGTATATAGCGAAAAGTTTGGGTGCCAACAGTATCCAAGCTAATCTGGAACAGTGCTGGGCCTGGTGTTTTAAGTGGCTACCTCAAGGACAGAAGGCACATGTCTGGAGTGTAGCTGCTGTTTGCTGGGCCATTTGGAAAGCAAGGAACAAAGCACGTTTTAAGAAAAAACTGATCAAAAACCCTATTGAGATAGTTTGCCATGCATGTGCGCTAATGAAGTATTGGACATGTCTATTTGTCGAGATGGACAGGAAGACTCTTGAGGAGGGGGTCAACATGACGCTGAAGGTGGCCATGGACATTCTAGCAACCAACCGTGGGAACAAGCAGGAGGTTGCTGGGAGGACTGAAGACCCAGAAGATGATGGAACCCGCAAGAACTGACAAGCTCCCTGGCGATGTTTTTTTGTTGTTTCTGCTGGTGTTGCTGCTTGTGCTATCTGTCTGTATGATGTTTAACTCTGGGTAGGGGTGCTGGTAGTTTCTGGTTCTAGCTGGAAGTTGGTTGCTCGTTTAGCTGTTAGAGCTCTACTAGCCTTTTGCAGTTTTTTTATTCTTTTAGGCTCCTCTTGCGCAGGTGGTCAAGCGCTTTTCTCTGCTCCTATGCTCTTTCCTGTCCTCTGTAAACTCTAAAACTATTGTATTTCCGTTCTCTGAATGCAAATGGGGATCCTCCTCAGGTCGAAAAAAAATATGTATGGATGTGTCCTATTCATCAATGTCAATTGTGATGCCAAAACTTTTCGGCGAGGAACATGTGAAAAGAGTGTCTTGGTGAGCTTATGCTAGGTGAGAGAACAGGCTAAGATCGCCGATGTATAGAGTGTGATAGGGAAGGAGCAGCATGTGGATCCAAACTACTTCGATGTTTTTCATGGGCAATGCCAAAACATTGATGTTTGACTTGAATAGCTCTTGCACATCCAACTTTCCATAGACATTTTGTATGGTTTTCTTGTTTTTTATTACCATGGTAAAATCAGTTGTAAGCTATTTGAATTTTATGCCATCGTATTTTCCGTACTTGAATATGTATTAGATTCTTTATTTTTTTTAATACCTTTTGATAGGTCGAAAATGTTACAATCTAGACCTATAAAATCAATGTGCTAGTTTTTAGCGCTTATAAGACTAAAAGAGTAGTGATTTTTTAAACTTTACTGGTAGACTTTTTTTTAGTTTTTTTTGGTAGTTTTAATGTTGATTTTAGAGTTTTTAAAATTAAAATTTACATGGATTATTTAGATATTTTATCTTTCCTGTTAATTTGGAGATTAAACTATTATTTTTTTTATAGTTTTTTTGAATTTTGTGGCTACTAATTTTGCTTTATATAGACTACTTATTTAGATATCTTCTTTTCATCTCTCGTGAAAATCAAGTTAGTTACTAGTATTATCTGTCTCCGAGGAAACCAGTGCCAGTACTTAGCAGCTGATGCCATGCTGTTGGATGTGGCTGATGTCAAAGAATCAATGTGGCACCTTTCTGTCCATGTCAGCGTTTAACTCTTCTTCTGTCCATGGTAAAATCAGTTGTAAGCTACTTGAATTTTATGCCATCGGATTTTTCCGTACTTGAATATGTATTGGATTCTTTATTATTTTTTTATACCTTTTGATAGACCTAAAAATGTTACAATCTAGACCTACAAAATCAATGCGGTGGTTTATAGTGCTTATAAGAGTAAAAAGTAGTGAGATAGTGAATTTTTAATCTTTACTTATGGACTCTTAGTGAATTTTTTTTATCTTTACTTATGGACTCTTTATTTACTTTTTTGTAATTCTATGTTGAATTTAGAGAATTTCCTAATTATTGTATTTTACATGGATTATTTAGATATTTTTAATCTTTCCTGTTCATTTGGAGATTAAAGTATTATTTTTTTATAGTTATTTGAATTTTTTACTAATTTTGTTCGGCATCTTTTTTTCAACTCGCATGAACATCAAGTTAATTACTATTATCTGTCTCCAAGGAAACCAGTACCAGCACTTAGAAGCTGATGCCATGCCCTTGGATGTGGCTGATGTCAAAGAGAATCAACGTGGCGCCTTTCTGTCCATGTCAGCGTTCTTCTTCTCCGCGTCGAGCGTGGACCCAAACCAGACCCAGAACCACAAGTCTCGATGTTTCGTCTGCATTAAGGTCAAGCCGGAGAAGACAACATCACCTAGTAGTACACTGCACTGTCCAATCCATCCAGCCATCCTGGATCCAGTGAGGATCTCATGGCCGGGAGCAATCGCCTGTCAGACTCAGGCATTCAGTCAGGTCCTCCGAGAGACCGAGACCTCCTGCGTTTTCTCCGTCCGCAGGCTGCAGCTAGCACGCGGCGGTTCTTCTTCTTCTTCTTCTTCTTCCGGTGGTTGGGACGGGAGGGACGCGCTGAGCCGCAGGCCGGGGTGACGGCACCGGGAGGGAAAGCTGCGAGTGAACGCGGGCGAGCCAATCGTCTTGGTTCACTTCAGGTCACGGTGGCGGGTGCGCGTCACTCTGCTCCGGCCATCTTGGACCCGACAAGCTTGCGATGCTTCTGACGTCAGTATAGTAACTGTCCCGTATAATAATCTGAAGAAAATTTCTTCTGAATGCTAGTAATTCTCCCTTCTCGTTTGTGGAGGGAGACGGATGGAGAGATTCTTTGCTCCGTTGCAAAGGCACCGTGATCGTAGAAGGCCAGAAAGGTAAATAGGCTGGATGCACCATGATGGGGCGATGGCAATTTGGCCACAATTTGGAGGCGCTGCCTGCGATCGTGGATAGGCGATGGAGGAGCATACACCACGATGGTCGCATTTGGAAGCACTGCAGTTGTGCAGACGCGTGCAGTTTGATGGGAAGCTGACAACAGTTTGATAAGCACAACACGACGGTAACGACGACCACCCCCACCACAAAATGCGGTGGGACTTAAAGGCAGGGCAGCCGCCGCCAGCCAGTGCACTTCGGTCACCTCACTCACTCGCCCAATTACCACCACATGGTGATGGTGAATTCCAAAAGGAGTACACCTGCTAGTGACATTTTTCTATCCATTTACTCTCAAATCCAAGATTCTCGTACCCTTCATCCAACTAGTCTTCATCAGGAATTGCATAGGAATAGGGAAAAAAAAACAATAACTTGCAATAGAAATTCAGAGTATGAAGGTTAGGGAGGTTCTATTACCACGCTTTCTCCTTTTTCTCTTCATCTTCTTGTTTTTTTTTCCTTCTGTATCTTCACTCATGCATAAAAATTGTTGTGGGTAGGGAGTATGTGGTGAGAGGGATTGAGGGGCCCTATTTTCTGCATATGGGTAGGGAGTCTTCACAGTGGAGAGGTTCTTTCTCTTTTATTTTGTACATTTAGCATCTTCTTTTAAGCTTTAATAATAACTATAAACTTGTAGGGAGGATGGAGCTCAGGAGAGGTTCCATACTTCTAACAGCAATAGAGGGGGGCTCGAACCCCTACCTATCCGGTGCTAAATCTGCCTTTGGATCTCAGGCCTATTGTCCCTACTGAAGTTTCTAGTATAGCCTTTATACAACATAGAAAAAAACTTTGGAGAAATAAACAAGAAAATTAGTTTTTTTTTATAAAATCCGGCTTTATGTTAGTTCCTCAACAGCTATAGATTCATGCATCACACTTCATCTGAGAAATGAGAATCATCTGTTCAAGTGAGGCCCTGTTTAGTTTCTAAATTTTTTTTTTTGCCTCCTACGGTAAAAGAGCATATTTGAACACATGCATGGAGTATTAAACGTATACGAAAAAAAACTAATTGCACAGTTCTCGACAAAATCGCGAGACGAATCTTTTAAGCTTAATTAGTCCATGAAAAGCCTTAAGTGCTACAGTACCCAATTGTGCTAATGGCCGATTAATTAGTATTATTAGATTTATCTCGCAGTTTCCTGATGAGTTCTGTAATTTGTTTTTTTATTAGTATCTAAAAACCTCTCTCGACATTCTTCCGACACATCCGATATGACACCCAAAATTTTTGATCTCCTCAGCTAAACACACCCTGAGTGTGACGATGAAGTGTGCCATATAGCGAGATCTTTTTGGACAGACCTTTGCTGCAGCCGCTCTCACGTCTGCGAACCACTGCTCTCTCTCTCCCCGTGAAGTCTTTTCCGCCCAAACATTTGATATCCCCTTCTAAACTTTACTTCCAATCACATCTAATATTTGATACTAATTTAGATTATAAAAAATAGACTAATTAGAAAAATAATTGTATATATGGAGACTAATTTATGGGACGAATCTATTAAACCTAATTAGTTCCTGATTTGACAATGTGATGCTATAGTAAACACGTGCGTTAATTAGGCTTAATAAATTCGTCTCGCAAATTAGTCTCCATCTATGCAATTAGTTTTATAATTAGCTCATGTTTAGTTGTCCTAGTTAGTATCCGAATGTCCGATGCGACAGGGACTAAACTTTAGTCTCTGGATCCAAATACCCCCGACGGCCGCACACTGACACAACACGAATTCCTTCCTTTTCTCGAATTGAGACGTCACAGATTTTTTTTCTTTACGGGAATTCACTAATTCATTTTATTTTTTAGGGAATATTAACTTAATATTTTAGGCTTAAAATTGTCATTTTTTTATGTTTTAGCTCCTGGACGCTAGGTTGAGCCCATATCAATATAATATTGAGCCTCCATGCATTTTTTTTAATTAGCATCTTATTCTTTGATTAGTGTGGGTCACTTTCAATAAACATAAGGGTAAATATGTAATTTTTATTGGGCACTAATATGTCATAAAAATTCTAAAACATCTGTGAGATGCAGGGAGTAATAATTTATTGTTTTTTTTAATTCGGACGTCATGGTTCCCTTGACTTGACACGTACCAAAATTGGCACAACACAAAAGCAAAAATGTCTCGATGTGTCGTCTAAACATTTCAGGCGAGAAAAGGAGAAATTAGAAATGGTAAGTTGGATTACCACGTGAATAATATATGTCCAGTTGATTGGGGATCCTCCATCACGAATCCAAGTATATCTAAGTTGATTCTAAGTCATACTTTTAAAATTCTGTCTAGCAAATTTTGTATAAAATATATTATTTCAGATAAAATGGTTAAAGATGAAAGTTTTTCATTTTCAAAGGAATCTAGTATGCAAACCTGATACTCCCTCCGTTCTATTTTATTTGGCGCAAGTTAGAATAACACGGTCTCATAGATTACACTTTGATCATTCATTTGCTTTATATTATATTATTTATGCTTACAACTTATAATCATTGGACAGTATAATTTTTTACAAATCTAATCATAGAAAGTTTGTATTATAATAATTAAAAATTATTAGCCTAATTATTGGTCAGAGTTTTTAAAGTTTGAATCTTGATATGTGTGTAC